GAGAAGAGAAGAGAAAAGAAGAGAAGAGAAAAGAAGAGAAGAGAAAAGAAGAGAAAAGAAGAGAAGAGATGGGCGAAAAATTTAAATCGCGCAATTAAAATGGTTAGCTAGCTAGGATTATCAGGTGTAGATAACTAATTAGCCTATTTCCCTGATATGGAATTCTAACCTTTGGGGGGGGGGACTTTGAAAATAGTGATCATAATAGCCATTTCTTGTGACATCCGATTCCGGGCTCAAAATAATGAAATAATCCACTTAAAAGTATCCTTATATCGGAGTCAGCTGTAGCACCATTTTGCCGTTTGCCCGTCAATTAAATATTAATGTTCGCTCATATTAATGATTAATAAAAAATTAATAGACGTGCAGTATGTTGTGATACTTTTGATAAATAAATAACCAATCCTAGGAATATATGTACATCATTGGTCTAACCAATCATAGGAAAAAAAAATTTGGGTTGATCGAAATGTAATTAACGAATTTCATAAATTAAAAAAGTATGACATTTGAACAACTGGATTATTTAATTAAATTAAGGAAAAAGAAAGTAAAGGAAAAGCGCGAGGAAAAAATATTGAGAATTTTTGGTCCGAACCGGGCTCGCCCGGTTTTAATACCGGATCGACTTGTAGAGTTCCAGCTCAATATGTCTAGGAAAAATAAATTTTTTTTAATGGCTGAGATGGAGATACAAGAATAATAAATTATGGCTTTAGTAGGAATTCAGATAATTAAATGAAGTTATTATATGATTTGGCTTTATAGTTTACCGGATCAAATGACCTTACCTACCACCTCCCCTATGACTAAAATATAAAATGGATATTGACTAATTATGTTGATTATGACTGAAAGGGGGTCTCCCTGAGATTTAAAAAAACGAGATTGATTCGGACCCGCACCCATCACCTCTACACCGCGCGTTAAAGGCCCCAGTGTTAGAAACCTGAGTGTCAAAAAGATCGAATCGAGGAGTTTAAAAAAAAAATTATATAAACTTAAGCTAAGCACAAATAGCGGGAAATGTCCCAGAGATAAAACACCTATTGGATTCTAGCGGCGATTACGTCAACCGACCCCCCCCCCCCAATATCACTCGAATTCGATTCATTATTTATTTTTTTTAAGATAAAATTTTATTTCACGTGATATTTAGCGCCTAAGCCCAGCTTGGTTCTCTCAAAATAAAAAACCAAAAACTAAGGCAAATAAATATAAGAAGGACCATCCACGTTTGAAAAGGGGGTGGGGTAAGCTGCAATTACGGCTTACTTAAACGCCCAAGGAAAATAAGAAGATAGAGAAAATGTAAATTTAAATTCACACGATTTTAATATAATTTTAAAAAAAATTAATAAATATTTTTCGTACCCGGCAACAAGCAAATCAAATCTATTTAGAGGTTTTATCATCTTAAACAACAATAATAATAATAATGATGTTTTGAAACGCATAAAAAGAGCCGCTTTTCAAAATTACATTTTTTATTTCTTCTCAATTTTGACAAAAAATAATAATAATTATTATTATTATTAGAGTACATAAGAAAATGGAGAAGATGATTTAAAAAAAATGTATATATAGATTTAAGATGTCGTGTAATAAATTTTTTAAATGTAATAAATATTATATATAATATATATAATTATGTGTTCATTATCCCGAATCGATACTATAAAACCCGGCTGTCATTATTATGAGAGACATGTAGGCTCGGCCCGAAACCCGGTATTATATTAATTTCTTCAAATATACCCGGGCCAGGTATAAAAAATAATTAAAAAAAAAATACCACAACAGATAAAAAAAAAAATTCTTATATATAGTTTTAAGATGTCGTGTATTAATTTTATAAAATGTAATTATTTTTTTAAAAAAAATAAAATATATAAAATATAATATTTATAATTATATTTTCGTATATTTTCGTTGTCTCGAATCGATACTAGAAAACTCTTATCATTATTATCAGAGAGCCGGTCGTATATTAATTTTTTCAAATATACCCGGGCCGGGCCCAGTCGGACCGGGCTAGAAAAATCCGGCCGTGCAAATGGTCCTCTGCAGGTCTCTGATTATTTTTTTGTAATTGAAAATTAGAGATTTTTTTTAGCTCCCCTCGGTAGAGAGGAACAGTTACGCCGTTATAGCAAGGCTTAACTAATTTACGAAAAAAATATATAATATAATAAGAATACACTAAAAATTAAAAAAAATACAAACAAACAACTTTCAAAAAAAAATAATAATAATTCCCCCAAAAAAGATAAAATTTTTTTAAATAATATCAGAAGGAATGGAGCTAAATCAATGCAAAGGTCGAAATTTTCTAGCCTGGATTTTGTAATTTTTTAAATAAAAAATAAAAAATTTCGCCTAAAGCTAATATTATTTTTGAATTAATAAATGGCTGTATTTTGCAAATAGTTCCAAAAAAAGGAAATTGAAAATTATGACAGGTAAACGGATATTAAACGCCATATTTGATGATCTTTTCGGATAATGTTGATAAACGGCTCGATGGGACCGATCTTTAAAAATGGCTAACTCAGTATTTTAGAAAGAATAATATTGCCTAAGCCTCGAGATTTCACTAATAAATTCCAAACGTTTGTGCCATCCATGAGCAAAGTCTTCAGGCTTGCTTAATATTTTGTAGTTTAACAACGTTATTTTCGACTGATTAATTGATAAAAAATATTTAAATTGGACAGTGACGATAATATCTGAAAACCAAACCCACTGACCAGTAGGTTTAGCCGAGTTATTGTGATTAATTTTTATTCGGGTCGGGTAGAAAAATATTTCACTTCGGATGAGCACGGTCGGGTCAACGCATTATTAATCAGTTGGTAATACACCATTTTGGTTTCCTACATAATACTAAATAATTTACATTAAAATTTTACGAAAACCTTCTTTTTTTTAAAAAAAATCAATTTCAATTTATTCGGTAAAACTAAATTTATATGGGATTAACCAAAATGGCGCATTATCAGCTGATTTGTATTCGACGACGCTTCAGAATGCATTTTTTAATAAAAGTATCGTCAGTTGTGGGTAAGTATTATACATATAATTGGATCGAATTTTAAAGATTTTTTCCATTCTTTATCGGGCAGTCACGGGGACTATAAAATATCTATACATTATTATCAGGCACGCGAGTTTATTTATATTTTTTTTTAAAAAAATCTTCATCAGGGCTTTAGTCAGGGCCCCAAGGATGAGAAAGGATAAGGGATAGAAGGAAAAGGAAAATGGGGAGGAAATGGAAGGATAGGAAAAGAGAAAGGAGGAAAAAGTAAGGGAGGAAAAGGGAAGGGAGAACAAGGGGAAGGAGGGAAAAGGTCTAAGATAAACGAATTATTCGTATTCGATTCTCTTAAACGAATTCAAATGCATGCGAATAGTAAGGTATTCGATTCTAGCGCCCCTATCCGTTTAGATTTTCTCTATAAATTCATTAGTCTTAGTCAAATATAAACACATTTAATTTATGACGGTTAATCATCAGACTTGTATCGGTTAACATTCAAAAAAGTATCTGTCAAAAGTAACGACCAATATACATACCAATTTAAAAAAAGTTAATACTTTAATAGATGATCGCGAATCGAAACGATTAAAACTGACGCTGAGAAAATTAACAATATATTATTTTTTTTTTCAAAAAAAAAAAGCTGTCGATTGCCAAATTGCCATAAGAACATATTTTTTTTTGGCTAAATCATTTAAATGAAATGAAAAAAAAGACATTTTTCAAGTTATAAATGAGACAATCCACAAACACAGTGTATCCTCTTTTCAGGCTAAGGATAGATATAGAAAAGTTTATTAACGTCATTTTATGGGAACATTACGGTTACAGTGTACGTATGCTGTAAGAGTTTAAAAACGCGATTCAAAATATTGGCATAGCAACTGTACCGTACACCATTTTAATGTATCGTATGAGATCGGCCATTTTGAACATACGATACAATTCGATATTAGAAAAATCGATACATTCCAGTGTTTCTGTATAAAAAACACCTTTATATCTTGTTTTTTTTTGCAATACAAACAGGAGTGATTCCGTTTTATATAATTATTAAACTCAAATTTGGCAATAATTTTCGAATTCTTTATCTTTATCTCCTCTACAATTAAATAATAAAGAAAAAGATATATAAATAAACAAATAAATAACGAACGAAACGATATCGTATTATTTTAACAAAAAATGTTATTATATTCTGTAAAAAAAAGGAGGAAATCAAAAGGGAAAAAAATCCAAAAATCGATTTATAACTTATTAAACAATCATTTCTCCAATCCCTCCCCACTTAGAAAATTGGCAAGTTACTGGGAGAATATTATTTTCATTTAACAATAATGATTGGATACCTTGTAATATAAAACGCTTTTTTTGTTATAAGTAGTGAAGTGTTGGAATGTGATGGTTTAAAAAAAACATATTTTAATTATAATACATTGATAAAATATAATAATTTTATATTAACAACTATATCTATAATCAATATAAAAATGTATAATTAAGAGAAGGGGTATTTAAAAAAAATTATATATAGGTATGGTTGGCTGGTTGTTTTTAAAATAATTAAATATTCATTTTATTTTAAATTTGTTGTGATAAATCATCCTAATCATTTGGATAAATCATGTAATTTGGAATGGGGGGGGGGGGTAATATCTAAGTCAATCCAGGTGTCCAGTTCATATTTGTCATTGGAGTGGAAAGATAATATTTAAATCCATATTTTGTAAAATTGAAAATATAAAATAATCTTTTCTTAAAAAAAGCTTTAATTGCCTACATCTTAAGATGTTTTTTTAAAAAAATCTATAAATAATTTTAAAATATCTTAAGGAGATACTTAATATTTTTTTCTTTAAATAATCTTTACTTTATCTTCCAAAAACATATAAAACCAAAAAGCAAGTTATCATTATAAAAAAATATATAGTTTAAAAAAATTAAATTGGCATACCTCAATCCTAAATCTTTGAGGTGTTGTCCTATAATTCGTATAATTTCATAATCAGATTGGGATATTAAGCTTTTTCTTTGAACATCTGATAGCCCTGTATTATCATTGTTGAGTAAGGTTTTGTTATTTTCTTTAATTTTATTATGTTTATGAGGTAAATTGTGGGTGTGCAAGTGACAAGAGTGTTTGATTGTTTTGGAAGCATTTGATGTTTTATTAGTTGGAGGATCATTTAAGTTTAACATGTTATTACCATTTTTGTGATTATAATTTGCTTTGTTAATTGCATGTTTGGGTTTAGGCTGTGAGAGTTTGGTAGATTGTGTGTTTGCTTTTAAATTGCATATGTGAGAGATTTCACTCATATTATAATCATGATTATATTCTGGTTTTATATTATCCCCATTTTTAAGATTTTTGCATATATGTATTTTAGTTAAAATTTTTTTTGGTGCATTATTTTTTATATTGTCTAAATGTGGGTCCTGATAATCTTTAATGACTTTATCATCACTATGAGCAAAATTAAGATGAGAAGATTCTTTAGCAAATATTATAAGATTGGAAATGTTAGACTTTTCATGTCCTACTAAATTATTCCTATATTTTAGACAACAACAACAAGAACAATAATTTCTTTCATTATAAACAGATAAATGAGCTGCCTGCTTTAGTTGCATGGGGGTTAACATTTGATTTTGTATTCCATAATCAGATCCATTTTTACTTGGAAAATCATTTACAATGATTTCACCTACATTTTTTATTTCAGAATCAGGGTTTAAAGATTTATCATCAGTCATAAAACAACCATTAGGATGCATTTTTAAGTGATATAGAGGTGATATGTTTCCAACAGCTTGTATTTCTATGTTAGAAAAAGATTTGTGTGAGCTAGAAGAGGGTGGATAAACACGTTGTTTCTTTGTCGGTGGAGAAGATCCACCGATCTCAGATTCTGATGAGGATGCCAGAATTATCTAAGATATCGATGAGGCTAATAAAATTAACACTAAATTTTAGCTTAAATTTATTAAGGAACAAGGCAGAATTAATGTATAACTTCATCCAAAAGCAGCATATGATGTTATTAAAATTTGGATTATTGATCTAAAACGAAACTGTATTTTATGCTCATAAAAAATTACATATCGACCAATGAGATTTTCAAATTATTTATACACATTAAAATGTTTTGCTGGCAATATTTTTTCAAAAATGTATATCGATTATTTTGGCCTTTAAATGTATCATGTATTATGAAAATTAAAATAAATTTTCTTTAAATTGTATCTGATATTTATCTTTTTATATTTAAGAAGTGCGATATTTATACGAAAATTCGATTATGTAGCAATCCAAGAGGACAAATTACAAATACAATAAACAAAGAATCATATGGAAAACTTGATTTGATTGGTGCATCTATAGGTTGGACTTAAAAATAAACATTAATACAAAGCTCCTCACTAAAAACGGAAAAATAAAATAGAGTTTAATGAATTATTTATTTGAATTAATGCTTAAATTATTTATTCAATATATGAATGACGTGATTCTAATATATTCTTGGTAAGATTTTCATAATTTGATTATAAAAGGAAATTAGATCAATCTAAGAATAAACAGAAATACTAATGTATTTATCAAAACTTTAATGAAAAGTTTAAATATTATTTTCCCGCATAAATTAAAGATATTAGCATTTTTAACAATGTTTCTGATAATGAAACTATTAAATGCAATCCTATTATTCCACAAACCTATCTTACCAGTAGAACGCCTCATGTATTTTTCTTCACAGGAGGTTTTTTTTTTAGTAAAATCTTAATTTATCTTATTGTTAGAACTCAATATTTTATCTTTGAAATTTTGCTTAGGGAGTAGGCGTATTTAAGGCGGAAGAGGGTGTCAACCGCCTTTCCCAGATATGCATTAATTTACTTCCAAGTTGAGATTAAAAATGTTATCTATCTTAAACATAAAACTTAAAATCAAAAGTTACAAAAACATTTTTAAAAAATGAAATAAATATATTTTGTAAATATTTATACATTTTTATCCTCTATATTTTATTTTCTAAAATTATTTTAACCATGATTAAATCTTTGCCTCAAAATTATGAATATTGGATATTAATAATTAACTCTATTTTTAGTAAATTTGACCCCCCCCCCCCTTCACATCTCAAATTAAATACCCCATTGATTCGACGATTAACCTAATAAAATAAGGTCATTATGGTTTGACAAAATTCTTTTAAAATCAATAAAATTTAAAATTATTTAAAAACTTGAGGGATTTCTTAAAGAAAGATTTTTACTAGATAAAAATTGCAAAAGATTTATTTATAAAAGATTTTATAGAAAAAGGTTTAAAATTTTGGGAAAAATTTGATCAAAAACATTACTATAAAAAAAAAAATTTTTAGCTATCCAAAAAAAAAAAAATTGGATCAAATCTTTTAGTTTAATAAGAGTTATTTATTGCTAACCTATAGATAAAAGAATTTATATTGGACGGGAGGCGCGAAGAGGTTAACTTAATACCCTAGAGTTTGACTAATTAGGAAGAATTGCAATATTTACACAACGCTAATTTTGGGGAAAAGGTATATCGAAAACAAATCATACATTTATTTGGTTACAAATTTTAGGTCCAATCCCCAGAATCTTAGTTAAATCTTTTTCATAATCACGAGAATGTAAACAAAATTAGGCTTGCACAGCGTCTACATGAGCAAGAGGGGTAGGAACAGTTTGCATCCTATTTTTTTGAGGGGGTAGGAGGTAAGCTGCTTTATTGGGGGTAGGATAAATTTTTTGGGGGGTTATCTATTAAATTTTGAGATAAAATAGGACTAAATTTATTGCTGTAAAAATTATACTTTTATTATAGTATTATTATAATACAATTCATCGACCAAATCTATATATTGCAAACAATCATACACATTGTTTTCCAAATAAACTATCCTTTTAAATGTAATTTAAAAGGTTTAGATATTTTAGCAAGCTCATAATGCCATAATAACTAATTCATTGTAAATAATGGAGGATTTAATTGAATTTAATATCTAAAAAATAAATTATTTTTAATCACAAAATATAGATAGTTGGTAGTAGATACAGATTAATTTAAGTTATCATTTGTAAATTCTTTGAAAAGAGTATCAATAAATAAAAAGGTAAAATTAATGATGACACCTCTTCCGAAGGTGGCGATTTTTTAGGGGGGTAGGCTTAGGTTTTTGAAGGAGGTTTGCATCCAGTGAAAATCCTGTCATGTAGACGCTGGGCATGCAAGTATGAAATATTCTTTTTAGAAAAATAATTCCACATGATTAACAAATTTTTTTTAAATAAAGGTCAAATCGAAATCCAATTTTCAAAAAATAATTTTTTTGTTAGAATTTTATGACCAGAGTTTGAAATCGCGCCGGAACTAGATCCTTCGGAAGAAAAATTTAAAAACAAGAAACAGAAACATGGAACTCCCTTTAAAAATTTTATGAACCGGTTCTGGAACAAGTTCAACAAAAGTGCAAGTAATTTACACATATATTGTTTCAATGTGGTGTGTAGTGTTGTGCAGCCTATATTTTAGCTAGAAAAATATTGCCTAAGCCTCGAGATTTTGTTGGTATCTGGATACGCCTTTGTTGTGTTCCCTCTATGAGCAAAATCTTCAGGCTTGCGTAATATTTTTCTTGATGAAATATTGAGTTAGCCGTTTATAAAAATCGACAGCTGTTTAACAACACTAGTTGTGTGAATCATTTTATAGATTTTTTTATTTTGCCTTTTAGGAACCGGGAAGACCCTGCATCAAAACAACATCAAATTCAGTAGGAAATTTTCAAATTTGAGGATCCAGAACAGCTTAAATTTTGAGAACCGGATAACTGAATCCATTTAATCTAGGTTCCAAATTCTGCTTATTTATAACCCCCTTATTTTTTTAACCTATCTTTGTCTTACATTTTGTGAAGTGTAATAACTATTAGTTGGATTTGGAATCTAACTTGACCAAATATTATAACTGAACATTTGTCACAGCTGTGTTGCTTACCGATAAGCACTCACGGGGTTTTTCTAAAACAGGTAGTTTTCTAAATATATTTATTTTCTGTTTTACAAGCTAATTTTGTTTATAAGGATGATTAATTTACACTGGCCGTTTTATTGATATTCTGCATTTTTAAAATTTTAAAAAAGTATCTCAATTAATAATAATATATGGTCTTAAATTGGGATTCTGATGTTAAAATTTAAACTTCGAAGTGAGCTAAAAGATGTATTGCGTTGATATCACATCTATATTAGAGACCTTCTGGTCAGGGAAGGCGGTTTATGAGCAATTATTATATTGTCTAGCTTGTCCGCGCTAGAATTGGGTTTTTGAAAATTAATTTTCAATAGGCCTGAGCTGGGTTTATGCCTAATTTTTTTTTTAATTTAATTTAAAATAGTTGCTAACTAGATTGCATTTTTTTTCTTCTTCTATTAAGAATAAATTTCCGTATTGTAACAAAATGATAGCCTAAATACACTTAAATATTGTTTATTTTCATCAAATACAATAAATTAAATTTTTTTTATATGAGCTTGGGCCGAGCTAAGAAAAATTTTGAAACTTTTTATGGCTTGGACCGGGAGGAATTTTTTTAAAAAATAAATATCGGCAGGGTTGAGCTGGACCTACCTATTTTTACTGCGGATCTAGCCCAACTAGTGTTGTTAAACGGCTCAGTTTGAGCCGATTTTTAGAAATGGCTAACTCAATTTGCGGAGAACTGATTTTTTTGAAACATAAAAAATTCTAAAAAATCTTTTCAAGATAAAAGAACAGAAAGGACTATCAGTATAAAAAAAAATTAAAATTGAAAAATAATAAGGACCTCGACGGGTATTCTTTTTCATATATATATACAACAATGCAATTTATAATTTTTAGTATTAATAGATTTTTTGTATCTGATACATTTCTTAGCCCTAACCACTAAATAATCCATCATATCATCAACTTTTATGTATCTCCCTTTTTCTCATTTTAATTTGTAGAACCCAATATTATTTATTTATTGATATTTTATATTCAAATCGCACACAAATACCAAATTATATTAAATTTATCTTTCCTAATTTCTATTTTGTTTTTAATGGGAAAATGATATCAAATAAAGAAATAAATTCTGACCCTCATTTAATTGTATATTTATTCACTTTTAATTATATTTTGCCATAAATTATATTCTAGCGCCAGAAATGAGTGTTCAATTGGATTCGGTCGGTTATGAGTCGGCAAATGGTCAAACTGGGCTAATGTTTTATACGTAATTATAGCTATAGATGAAAAAAAGTATTTCAAAAAATCGAGTTTTATTATAGCTTACAAGTAATATGTGGCGTAATATATTGTGAAATAATAAGGGAATATTTTAAAACAATATTTGATCCAAAGTTTGTTGTCTTTTACTCTATTAAATAATATTTTAAATCCAATGTGTTTAAATATTGTATTAAAATGTAATTCAAAAACCCTTCTTTCTTTATAAAGTCGAATCGATTTCAAAATATATACTTCTCTCACTAATCATAATATCTAAACAATTATTCATTTTTCTTATTTATTGAGTAAAGATATTTTTAGCAATTTCCATGAAGTTATCGTTGAGTAAAACAAAAAAGTAGAATGTGAGGCAATGGTTAGCCAAGTTCAAGATGTTAAAAATTAACAATTTATATCGTTGGTGCACATAAATTTATCTTAAATTCCAGATGTTATACACTGAGTATTTCTCATAAAAAAAATTGAAATACTATAGTTATTTAGGTCAAGTTTGCTTTAGATTCCTCAGAGTTAAACTTAAAAATTTTACTATTATCGTGATTTTTAGAAGTAAAAGTATTAATTATTATTGTTAATATTGGCATTTTTGCAGAGACAAAATAAAAAAAACTCAAAACGGCTATGAATAGCATTGGCCCCACTATTAGCGTCGGCGTTACTTATATTTTTTCAGCATTTTTATTATAATAATTCTTAGTAGAAGTGTTTTCTTGTTTTTCCTCAACGCTTTTCTTTCTAGAACCATTGAAACTCAAGCATGTTAAAATATTTCCTAGCATCCCTAGAACTGTTGATGCAAGTGAAATATAGAAATTTCCCATTCTTTCTGAATATGGGTATGAAAAACCTATAAACCGTTATCACGTT